AATTTATGAAAAAAAGATCTCTGCGCCGTTTCCTTGCACACGTGCAAATTTCTGTTAAGAAAATCTTTTATATTTGTATCAAATAATAGAGTATATCACAGACGAAATATACAATATGCCAAACAAACACACACACACACACACATATATATATATATATATATATATATATATATATATATATATATATATATATATATGTGTGTGTGTGTGTGTGTGTGTGTGTGTGTGTGTGTGCCATGTAATTTTTACATATATGATATATTTATTTATAATTCGAGAGCTGAAGTTTTTTGGTTATTTTTTTTTTGCTGTACATATTAAACATAAGTAGACACTTGTAAAGACGTTTTTTTTTTAGATTTTAAGATCATGCCAGAAAAAAATACATCTCATATAACTTTTAATGAACCAGTTTAAAAAAGAATAAATTCGTTTCAACCTGTATTGGGAAAAGGGCAGAATTGAACCTAGCTTACGGTTAATCCCCTTTTATTACCGGTTTGCGATCACCAAATTGAAGCAACGTCGATAGATGGGTGACCGTTTGTGAATACCAGGTGCTCTCAGCTTGGATGTGTGGGTGGTGTAATGAATAATGGCTTGGAATTGTTAATCGGTGAGAGAAGTTTCAATTCCAGTTGGGTTCGTTATATTCCCTTACGCACAAATACCATTGGGAAAGCTATGAATCGATTTATTCTCCCTCCAGCTATTTAATTAGTATGACTTTTATCACTAAACTATTACTATCTCAAAAAACATTCCTAAAACCTAAAAATATTTCTGGCTTTAAATAACCTGCAAATAGTTGATAAACCTTAGAAAATAAATCCATCGATCAAACGAGAATTGATCCTGATTCACTTACTACATTTATCGAGATTTTTTTTCATTGCAGCAATTTGCACAAGCTAGAAATGATAAAATATCTCATTAGAAACCATTTTTTTATTATTCTACAATCTCTTTGGGTTTAGCATGGAATATATTGAGCCTGTATGAAAAAAAAGAAACAGAACTAATACCAAATTTATTTAATCAACACTGGAATCAGGCTTCCTGACAGACATGAGTTCCTCAGATGTGTGTTTGTTTATTATATATACATATTCAAACTCATATGGTATGTGTTATAAGTTTAAGAGACAAATAAAAAAAAATGCCCTACTCGAGGAAATTCTACAGAGAAAGGAAGTTTCTTCGTCTTCAAGGACGTTATAGAAAAGCACTATCGAAAACTATATATAAGACTATATAAATAAGGTATATTCTGTCTAGTTATCTTTGCCTTGTGGTAAAGAGGGTTGGGACTTTAGCTCAGGTAAAGCCATAATTTCTGATACTGTTTTGCAAGGTAAATCTTCAGGACATGGACAGTTAACAGTTTATGGCCAATTCCTCTGGCCTTGTGCCATTCAAATTAAGCTTAGTAAATATATTTTATTATTAGTCTATAAAAACTATATGCTATAACAGAAAATGACATTGCAACACGCTTAATTAATATTTCAGTTTACTCAATATTAAATGCCCAGGTAAACAGAATTGGATTACAGTAAAACGTGTACAGATAGAAATTTATATGATATTTAAAATTGGAAGTTTCTGTAACAAGAATCGTCTTTTTAAGAAAATCAATTGCACATATCTATGATTAAATTTATTTCATCTGAATAGATGGAAACATTATAGACTACACAAGCGTTAAATAAGCTGAGTACACGTTAAGGATACTTCAAAGATTTCGTTAACATCGGACAAAAGATGGCGAGAGAAACATTTGCACCAGTTTCAAACCAACGTCTTTTCGATTTTCTTCCGAAAACTGTGTAACCTACTATAAATTATTACGATTATTATTGCGTTAAAATGAGATTTAAATTAAAAATTTAATAGATCGAGCCGGATTACAAGGAAATGAAGTGTGTGTTGTATTCAGATGCAGATCTCCTGCTGTTGGTACAGCTGGAGGCAAAACTAACCCTGACCTTGAAGACTAAACTAATTGAGAAATAGCAGTGAATACCTCTTCTAATTATAGTTTACAACATTCTATTCACTACTATTTTTTTTTTACTTCAAATATCAACATGGAAAGGGTACTAAAGCCTAAAATTCTGGATCTGGATAATAAGATCTCCTGGGCAGAGAAAATGTGGAATAAATAAGTTTTAATGTAGTGAATTGTATCAATATATTGTTATGCATATTTAATTTTGTAATGTATTATGAATGTTTATTATTTTTCACCCATAACAGTTGGAATGTAATATGCAAGTGTTTGTTTATAGACGTGGATTGATATAAGAATGTGCATCGAAAAGAAATACTGAATTTCCTATTAAAATACCATAAAACGTCCTTAACTCATAGACAATCTTGTCTGATTAGAATGAGAACTCGTACTCTACTCGGTTGGGGTTCTTGATATAATATGTTACTAAATTGGTTGAGATATTATGTATCGTTGAAGCCGTATCTTCGCGATTCATATACGTACATAGATACATACAAGAGTTTTAATATTATGTAGATTATTAAAGTTTTACTGTTGATTCAATAAATTATTTCTGATGATTTTCTTAATTCAGATTATAGAAAATGCGATAAAATTCATCTAACAGTTTAAATCAAAATGTAGAATATGAATAAAAGAAGCTGAATGAAGCATTGCCATTATATTTCATTAGTTGCTCGTATTTCATTCATCTGTATTCACTAAGATCGGTATTCTACCGTCGATAAATAAGCAACATAAAATAGAATCAAAAGATAAAAGAAACGGTAACGAATGAACACACAAATTTTAATGACAAGCCAACAGTCGCATTCCCTTCCGGGCACTGCAGGAAGTGTTACAGGAAAATGACAAATCGTTCTTATATTATAGTATACAATAACTATCCAACGAACAAGTTTCGGCTTCCATTTGTATCACATAATGATTGATGCGATGTAACTTGAAAGAATAACTGAGATGAAAAAAAAAGACTATTCGATGGAGTATGATTCTAAGGTTTAAATATGAAGGACTAATGTTTCAGTATGTCCCAGAATTCATGAGAAGATACAAATCTAATACTTTTAATTATTGACCTCTTTATTACAAGGTATAGTATTTTCAGTTTGAAATATGATTGTTTAACATTTTTATTGAAATATGTTACTGGGATTTCAAATATATGATATGGTATCGGCGAAATACCTCATCAGCCCATCTTGAACAATCAACGGCTTAATTAACATTTATGCAATATTTTTGGATTGATATCCCAGTCCCCACCAGACTAGAAAATGACATATATTGTGAAATAAATGCTTCATAAATGTCTGTAAAACTTCATGGAAGTTGCCGTTTTATATGCTCGGATATTCTGCAATATATATGGAAATTAGATTTACTACAGGGAAGATTAAATATCAACCTTTGTAAAAATATGAAAAGCAGATTCCGTTACTGAGTTGATAAAATGATTTAAGTGGTTATAGAACCTGTCAGTGTCTGACATCATATCGGCCGCTTTAGTATCATAAATATATCTAGCAAAATTTCATTGGTAAAAAAAAATAAAAATACTTAAATTCGTATAAAAGACAAATTTGCCTTCAAATTCACTATTGGAATTTCGTAACTGCCTTAGCCACGTGCTGGGCTATGAGAGCGAAGAAGATTATGTTTGGTAAGCAGCAGACGGCCAGCCTAACTTATAAATCAACACTAAATTTCCTGGCTTATAATCAAGTATAAACAACGCCCACTAGCGCTGACCGAACAATGACTGTCAGGTCAAAGGCAAACTTGATTGTGTTCCTCCTTTTCTCAAATGTATGTATTCATGATGATTGGTATATGACGACACTTAGTTCATCTTTGTCCGGCATAAGGCCACAATAATCAGGCTATTAATAAAAATCGAAGTCATTATAGAACATTGTTCTGCAAAATAAGCTTTCTAACCATATTAAATTAGCTGTGTTGATAATCAAACTCACTACATTCTGGTAAGATAATTTGTTATCTATAACTCAACTTATATCGGCTTGAACGAATATATATATATATATATATATATATATATATATATATATATATGCAGGTGTGTGTGTGTGTGAGGGAGAGAGAGAGAAAGAGAGATAATTCTTATGTAAAAACAGAACATACACAATTACGAATACACAGTACGATCCGATGCCCGCTTAGACATACAAGAATTTTTACAAACTTACATACATATAGAATTATCTGTGCATTTGATTCGTAATTGACCAATGAAAATTCATCCAAGCAAAATAGAAAATACCAAAATTCTGTCGTTTTGTCTGTTTTGTCTCAATCTCGGACGAAACTCTAATAAAAATGAAACATGTTAGATTGTTATACTTTTCCTATTTGTTCTTTATCCTATCATATATATATATATATATATATATATATATATATATATATATTTTCTTTTTCATATATATATATATATATATATATATGAAAAAAAAAATGCAAGAAGAGGATAAAAATCGATCCGAAAGATTCCACTATTCGGATGTTCAAACCTTCTTTCTAACTGATTATCAATTCAAACACTTCAGCCAATATGAATGTAACTGATTGACAAATGCATCTCCTCAACTAGCCAAGAGTCGTTATGCGCAGCTTGTAAACTATATCACCACATTTGAAACACCTTAATGTGCTCGCATACATTGATTAGTCTCCACGAAGTTTCCGAAGGTGTCGATGAATGTTAATTGATATTTGAGAATTTAATGACAAACTTTTTCTTCGTATACATTTTAATATCAGACACTATTTTCCCTTACTAGTGTGTATTAAAAAAATCTTCTCCTGCCATAGCACCACCAACAATCTTTGACATTGTGGATCAACAGAATAATATAGGAGGAATTTATTTCGAAGCGTCATTTATATATATATGATGGGGCACTGAAAGGTTCTTTTTCTCATTCAAAGGTCCTTGCTAAAAATTTTTCCAATGAAGTTAGATAGATAGATAGATAGATAGATAGATAGATAGATAGATAGTATAGACAGATGAATGAACACTGCATGAGGACTGCCAGTTTCATGTCTTAATATTTAGACTTGCGTTTGCTCTCTATATAAAGGCCACTAAGTCATTTTATTTGCAGATTTTTTTTATTTTACTTATTCGTTTATTTTACTTCTTACTAATTTTGTTTCTGTATTATTGTAAATTCTCATCGGTTTCTAAATTTTGTTTGTTCCTTTGATCTTATCAGACGTCATTTAGTCTTTTGAGTCGTGATATGGTTGCAACTAACGGAGTAGAAATGTGTTTTGATGCCCCCATTTAGAAATGAATTTTGATCATTTGTCCTGCAAAGACGATTATTTCTTTTTTCACTTGTAGGCAGAGGTTAGATGTTTTGAGCTGAGGTAAATTCATACAATTTTCACGTTTTTCAAATTTCATATATGCAGCTTGAAGGAGCGTTAATATGTTACATTTAAATGTAAAAAAGAAACAGGTGGTGAAATTCCTCTGACCCCCCCTTCTTTTCGATCAAATAGGATCGTTTATGAGTTCAAAATGATATACCATAAAACAGTATTACCAATAAAAGGAGGTGCAATTGATTAAAAGTAAGTCGACTGTCGTCACCCATCAGAAATCGGTCAGTAAAGAAAATCCTTCTTCTTGCAAATGGACAGTTGACGTCTTGAAAAAAAAAGCTGATTATCAATGATATGCTGAGTAATCGCTGAATTCAAAATACATTGAGATTCCGTGCCCTTTTCCGGTTGACGTGATTGACCATTCTCGATCCGAAATGAGGTAAATTACGTAACCTTGCATTGCAATCATTGCGTGGCAAATTCGATGTCACCAGATATCCACTGGCACGCAAGTGAATAAACGTCACATGTGACGCTAGTTATTTTCATTATTTGTTGCTGTTGTGTCGGAAACCTACCACCCCTCTTGAAGATGAACTTATCTGCGTCTGTGAACAAAGAATTTAAATAGTGGCATGTCAGTTGACACGGGGGGAAGACAGATAGACAGAAAAGTTCTTAGCTGAGCTAGTTATTGACTACACAGGCGATTTCTGTACCTTTTTACCAACCTATTAAAACCCTTTTTATTGTTACGTGTTATTTGGCGTTTATCTCTACTAACCCAAAAGCAACATCATAACATCAAACAATTATGTTTGGTTTGAGTATTTTCTCTGTTTTCAGGGATCTTGTATTATTCTTATTCATATATACTTGTATATTTACATGTTCTGTTTCTTTTCGTGTAGCATTTATATATCTCACAGTTTATTGCGATATTATAGGGAAAAAATTCCTCAATCCTTCCTGTTTAAATTGAGTGAAATAGAATTTTGTTTAGCGATCTCTATACTATCAGACGTGAAATATTTTGACAGGTTTCATGAAAAATTGGCAAATATTTTCCAAAAAATTACCGAGCAAAAATACTTTATATCAAAAATTTCATGAACGTTCATACAATATTTTTATGACATAATAAAGCTGCCCTTTCAAGTTTTGAGTAAACTTCCTTTAGCAAAGATGGCGTCTGGTGGTCGTAGATTTTCGCTGTCAATGTGTCTTCATCTATCACCATTATGTCAGCAGTGATATTTCTATCGACATCCTTCTTTTTCATACAGCCGACTGTGTACATGATCATTACGGTTCAAGTGTCACTTTTATTCAAGCGCATCTATAGATTGTGTCTTTGCTTCTCATGCGTGTTCAGGGCGTTCACACCCCGACATCACAAAATGTAGCGGTTCCGACTAATGTTGCTAGATAGCAACGCATTAGAAAGTTCGTCGATACTAAGTTTTGAAAGGAATGTATTTTTATTTTCATCAAAGATTAGCAAACCAGATTTTAAAAAGTAGCACAAAATTCATTATCGCTAGGGCTGTAAACTTGATTTAAACACAAATTTGTATATTTTTCTCACCATGTTGGCTTCTTAAAAATACCAAGAAAACAAACAAAAGCAAGCAAAATATAAACTATTCCTAATACAAGATATAAAAGTTAAAATCCTAATCTGCATTAATTTATGATGTGGTAAGCATTAATTTGAAAGAGTCATGTCGTGACTGATTGAATAGAAAGTTAGTATTCCGACCATAAAAACTAGCCTCGAATTTCATGAGGATCGACTTGGTAAGGAGATGATTACATGATAATATCACTATTATGATGACTACATGATAATATCACCACTGTTAAAAAGTGCATGGAAACTATATCACAGGATAATACAAATGAACCTCTTCGTATCCGTTGGGGTTTGTACAAAGAAGGCGTTTTAATCGTGGGTTTGAATGTGCTGTCCATATTCACAGCATATTGTGCGATCTACTCAAGTAATTGTAACTAAGGTCTACTCAGAATTGTTCCAGTATAGACCAGAAGTTGGTTCCATGGGCGCTGAAGAATGCCATTCGACCAGTGATTACTAAACCATCCGAGTAGAATATGTAGTTTTTCGAGACTGACCGATGCCTACATTTTATTTCAATAGAATAAATATGTGAATTGAAAAGATGAGGAGATTAGATAAAATATTACGAATACAAAGTGAATTCTATTACTAAATCAGTATTCATATGCTTGAAAAGACATGTAACTATTTCTCTGTTCGCTCTTTTCGATCGTCAGATAGTTTGAGAAAATATTTAATCACTGGTATGGCAAGTTGTTTCTATGCAACAAAAAATTATTCAGCTTCATTCACAAAGGGATCTTGCTTAATTTATGTTTGTATATGTATATATATATATATATATATATGTGTGTGTGTGTGTGTGTGTGTGTGTGTGTGTGTGTGTGTGTGTGTGTGTGAGTATATTTAAAACATAAAATACCAGAAAGGAAGTGATGTTCTTCTTATGCAAAGAAGTGACAATCACATCTCTCTCTCTCTCTCTCTCTCTCTCTCTCTCTCTCTATATATATATATATATATATATATATATATATATATGTGTGTGTGTGTGTGTGTGTGTGTGTGTGTGTGTGTGTGTGTGTGTATATTCATGAGCGGATAGAAATATGAAAGGTATTATGAAAGCCCCGATTTATAAGAAAGAAATATATTCCGATATATGTTTACATAGGTGTAAGAAAACAACGTGAGTCATACATTCATATCACCTTTTCTTTCGTATCAGATTGTTTTACCTGTTTTCATTGTTGATTCGTCGTACAAAAGACATGTAGCCAGGTGGGGTATCCTCAAACGTCCGCCCAATTTAGAAAGGTCATATCTAGCGTAAACCCTTAGTAAGTAAACATGACATTTTTATGATGACAAAGCGACATCTTCCGTTTCTATGTAATGGTCGCTTTCAGAACGTCTTATCCATTAAACCCGGTCCTTGTCTAGTTTTTATCTACTTAAAAAAGAATATATTTTACCTGCTTAAATAGGACGTATTTTTAGATACATATTATAGAGGTCTTGCACGATGTAACACCTTGTTGACTTTGTGTGATAGTTAAATATATATGCAGTCTGTAATAAATTGATAACACCTTTAAATTTTAACCTATGTTGCTGCAAAAATATACAAAAAAATGATACAAAAAAATCTTTATAATGAAGACTGTTTTGCATACTCTTCAGTGCGCAGTGAAACAATTCTGATAGATATATATTTGTCTAAATCAAACCAATACAATGATATATATGTTGTTGTCTGTAAAGAATATATATATATATATATATATATATATATATATATATATATATATATATATATAAATCTTATTAAAGAAAATATGTGGTCTCCTACAGGATTCGATTCCTGCGTCCCCCAAAGCAGAGAGAATTGTTGTTAGATTCATCGTGCTTTAACTGACTCAGCTCTGAAGAACTTTTTGATCAAACAAGCCTTAATATGAGTATCCACTAAAAATTAACGTTTAAAATTATATATATATATATATATATATATATATATATATATATATATATATATATATATATATACACAAAAACACACACACATTCACACGCATATAGATATGGGTGGGGTAAATTATATTCTAATGGCGTGTATCTACAAAGGAAGAAAATAAATAAAACGAGAAAAAAAACTATTGTTAACACACACCTTTCGTAATCAAAGCAAATGTAGGATTTATTTTGTTGCAAATGTTTATTTACAAAAGACAAAGATAACAAAACAACTAATCGTATGTAAGCAACATCCAAATAGACAGAAGCACTTCCAAAACCATTATGGATATGATGAGAACTAAAAACACACATAACAATAATAATTCAAAAGCAGGCATATACAAAATAAATTCCTAAAACTGTTCCTCACAATACATTGGGGGAAATATGAAGAAATTTAAAAAAAAATGTTATTTATTAACACAAAATTTCCTCATACACAAGAATTTATCAAATGCATTAGTCATACATAAAAACAAATTCAAGCACCATTTTGATCTAAAAATGTGTCACTTATCAAAAGAGAAAGTAATTTACTGAGAAGGAAAAGTTTCGTGAGTGCCGCTATCGAATCTTATCAAAATATAAATCTACGCCACGGTTTCTTTTCAATCTTGCATTCCCTGAAAGAATGACTACTTTCCCAAGCCAACATATAAGACCACAAATATGTTTAAAAATCAAAAGAAAACGGTTAAATCCATTACTTCAGGCTTTTGAAGATGTAAAGCACATACGACCATCCCAAACCCTAACAATGTGATCGCTTTTTAAACAATATTCCTTTTTAAGAAATAAATATTTTTTGAACATTGCTGGTTTACTTTTGCCTTAACAGATTTTGTGTCTTCAACATGTTTTGACTGACTTTTCAACCTTCTGATTAATATTCATGAATGTTCTCAAATTTAAATGCTTTCATAAATCAATGATACATGCTTTTGTATATTAACACATGCAACAAAATAAATCAAACATTTCCTTTGATAAAGTCCCTTAGAGGACGAAATGCATCGGCTAAGAATAGTTTTCTTCTCTTCTCATATATATATATATATATATATATATATATATATATATATA